TTTTAAAGATGAGAAAACCCAAAGGAAAAAAGGTTCGGTGGGTCACTTAAGGTCACACAATCAGTAAGTAGTAGAAGCTGCATTGAAAGTCCAGCCAGACGTGCTCACGTTTTCTTTTATTCCCTGCCCCAAATGGTGGTGAACGCACTGCAGGCAATACATTGACAGCCTGTCTGAGATGTTCATACCTTTCCACTCTGTTCACCACTAAAGGAAAATACCCTAACCTTGGCTGTGCTGGTAAGACATACTCTGACCCAAACATGGACAGAGGGTGAAGCGGCCAGAATTCCCATTTCTCTGCGCACTTTGTGACCTCGGTCAAGTCCTTCAGCCTCATGGAGTTGCCATGGCTTCCCACAGTCCACATACGGAGGTGAGTTCTGAGGACCCTTCCGTTCTGAAACTGTGACCTAACTGCTTTCTAAAAACCATGTTCCTGGCCTGCTAATGTGCTCACTCCTTGAGCCGAGTGAGGCTGGGTGTGATCACTCTCAGCCAATCTAATCAGGACTTGTCTCCATGAGGAGGTGACCCATTTCTAATTCACAACCCAAACACAATGTGAGGCCACTAAGCAACACGCAGTGTTTAAAAGAGTAAAACTGGGGCGTGGGGAACACGCCTGACATTCCCTCTGCCTTGGAAATAACGCACTTCTAAAAACAGGCTGAGATCACCACTTGGTTGAACAAGGAGGTGCTGTGAAGTTGGAAAATGCTTTGCATGATGCTGATAATATTTTGGCAGTGGTGGCTCTGAACGTGTATCACAGCTATTCTTTTTAGAAAATAAAATAGTGCCTTTGAGGAAAACAATCCTATTCTTGAAATTAGAAGGCTTTTACGAAAATAAATCCTTATTTCAAAAAAGCTAACTTTCAACTTAATCATTCACTGTGTGTCTGCTACGTGTGAGGCATGGGGCTTGGCACTGACGGGGAGTGAGGAATAAAGAGTGACAAGTGTGATGTCGCTGCCCTCCAGATGTGGGAGGCAAAACACACACCTGTGCGGTAGCGGGGGGACCCCGCGAGAGAAGGCAGGGGGGCAGGCAAGGAATCGAGTCTCTTCGGTAAGACTCGTATAGAATTTCGTCTCATTCCAATCATTCATTCATTCATCCATCCATCCACACATCTGTTCATTCATTCATTCATTCAGCAAATCTTTATGAGCATCTTCCGTATGTCAGGTCTCAGTACTGGACATACATGTCCACAGAAGACCTCAAGCTTATGTTGTCACTGAATTCTCATACCCAGCCATGGCAAAGGTTGTTGGAATCCACTTGCAGAGAAGAAGCAGGTGGAGAGGTTGCCCAAGGTGCCCAGCTAGAAAATGGCAAGATGGACACAGAATTCAGACCACTGGCTCCAGAGGCTGTGGTCAAGTGGGACTGGAAGGGGCCCGAACTCCGGGACAGATGATACTGGGACTCCTGCCTCTGGTACTTAAGGCTCATGTAATGTCAGGCAACAAGCAGAATAAGCTTCACCTCTTCGAGAAGCTTGTTCTGAACCAGAAAGTATGGCACTGTGGTGATGAGAAGTAACCCACATTTAAGGTCGAATGGTGTGGGACTTATGATTGTCATCTGGGCATTTTGACTCTGGAGCCTACACTCTGAAACAAGTTTGCTATAATTTAAAAAATAAAATAAAATAAAGGGAGCTTTCTGATTCTGTTCCTCACATTAACGTTGCCACTGAACTCGTCTGTAGAGCAGTCAGCTGTCCATTCACCCTCACGTCTGCCCACTCCCTGTGCACCTCATCCCTGCCAGCCAGTGTCACCCGGGAAAAAGCCTTTAGGCCACCGGACAACTGAGCAGCAGTGACTATCTCCAAATGTGGTGCTGTCCATCAGGTGTTTGATAGTTGTAGCTACGCCCCTTGCTTCTGCTCCTCCACGTGGTCTCGAAGAGACCTCAAAGCCCATGCAGCCCTCATCACATCCACGCCGACAGTAGGCTGCCAACGGCCAGGACAAATCCTGTTGACAAAGCCAATAACCTCCTCTTACTAGATTCTCCTGCAGTACTGGTATTGTTGACAAGTATTGCAAGAGAGTTAAAAAAAAAAATCAATCACATCTGATAAAAATTTCCTCCCCAAACTAGAATTTTACTGACCATATTCTATTATTCATGTTATATTGTATGTACATGTATATGACATCAATGTTTTATAATTTTAAAGATCATCTCCTGCTTTCCAAGAAATTGTATTAAAAATGAAAACCGTAACAGTTTGTTACTTAACCAACTCAACATCCAACCTATCCAATATTCATTCAGAGATTATCCATGACTCAGAAACTTCTATCTGTATTGGCACTTGATGTAGAAATTAAATCAAAATATCAAATATTAACAAAGTCGGAGCTGAAGCTTCTTGGCTGAAAATAATATTTTCACATACCAAGAAACATTCTCCTCTCAAGAGAAATAAGCATAGCAAGACTATGTCTCTGTGAAAAGATTTTATTGGGAATTTCTGTTCTCTGGTGACAAGAACGTGGTTTGAATTCATTCATTCATCAAACAAGGTAATTTCTCATGATCAGACTTGCAACAATCAGAGCACAGCAGGATACATTTTCATAAGGAAAACACACTTCCCACTGTTTGCAAGTTCTTGTGTATATATCTGGAGCTTCAGAGATCAATTAGTTGATATAAACTAACTTGTAAATAGTTCTTTCACAAAGGAAATGTAGTTTTCCTATGGTAAAACATTTTTTCCAAGGACATTCAGAACTAAACGTAGTATAAAGCTCCTTATTTTGAGCAACCACTCCTCTTTCTTGTACAAAAATTGCCTCATATTTTTTTTTAACAAACCTGTTTGAGATGAGAAAATTGAAAGATGTGGGCTTGAATCACATATTTGTACCAGGAAAGTACTCAGCACATAGTGTAGTAGCTGCATATACAGAGAGAGAGTGTACGAGGGTCAGGAACGTGGACTTTGGAGGCAGACAGGAAGACCTGGGTTCAAATCCCAGCCCCAACAGTTACCGGCACGTGTACCTGGCACAGTGGAGACTACGAGAATGTTCACCTCTTCCTAGGCAGAGGCTCTGGGGACTGAGTGACCAAATTCTAGCTAATGGTGTGTGATGGAAGATATAAGACACTGGCAGGCACAGCTCTCAGAACATCACACAAGGCCCTCCAGATCCCCAAGTGACTACCTGGAGGGCAAGTGTCATTATCAGACTAGACACAACAGAAATTAACCTTTTCCTAGAAGCCACTGAGATGTGGGGATTAATGTGTTACTGCCGTACAGCAGAGTACTGCTCTGACTAATATTGTTGACCAAGTTACAAAATTCCCTGTGCCTCAGTTTTCTCAGTTACGAAGTCAGTATAACGAAGACTGCTTTTAACTTAGAGACTATTCAAACAACACCCTAAGAAAGTATTTAGCATAGCCCTGGCATGGGGTAAACACGCAATAAACAACAGCTCTGTGTGTGTGTGTGTGTTGACTAGAGTGAAAAGCTTCCTGAGAGGTAAAGCTAGAAGGGAGCGGAGGAAACAGGAACTGATGAAGTAGAAACCCACTCAAGAGAACCGCAGAACAAGTCAGAAGGTGATGCGCAGAGACAGAGTTCGGGTCTCGGGTAACATTTCCTAAATCTCTTCTACCTCTGATTAGGGTTTGAGCTAGAGTGTGAGGAAGAATGGGGGCGATGGGGAGATGCAAAGCAGGTAGTTAGATAAAGAGGTTTGGGGGGGGACTCTGATGTGGAGATACAAAATTAGGAGGCACACTATGAAATTGTTAAAATGAATGTGGTGGCTCCATATGTGCTGGCATGGAAGAATACCTATGGTCTACCAGAAAAAAAGCAAGTTATAGAACAACGGGTATGCTATAATCACTTGTTAAATATGTATAGTAAAAATTATTTGATCATCTCCTCTGCAAGAGAAATACCCACACACACAGGTCTGAAAAGAATATGCCAAGTTACTAACCTACCCCTACGATATGATAAAGTTAGGGTTAATAGACAAGTAAAGGACTTTCACTTTTTCATGTATAAACTTTGCATTGTTAGGTCTTGTTGCTTTCCATGAGCGTTTAATGCCCAGACCCCACTTCAATCCATCCCTCTCCACCCGCCGGCCCCTACCTCATCCTGAGTCCCCTCCCAGTGGCAGACGTTGGCAACAGAATGAGATGGAAAAGGAAAGATAGTCAGTTCTGAAGGATGATGTCACATTATTTGATAATAAAAAAGGAGTGATTCAGTGCTTGATTTTAAGCTGCATCATCAAAACAGCAGTATCAACATGTTCGCTGATCAATTCTGTTTTTGCTCCTTGAAGGCTTGGCATCAGTCAGTTAAGCTGAAGGTCAAGTATGATGACTGGCAGAGCACAGAAGTCTATGGGCACATTGCCTACTGAGACCTCCCAAGAGTCATTCATTGTATGCCAAGGATTTGAAGGTCTCCAGTAATATCTGTAAATCCTCTGTACTAATTGAGGAATATTAACAACTTGCCACATTGTGGAGAAGGGTGTACCAAGAACTCCAGCTAATGAACACACATGAACAAGAGGAAATAAACATAAACAGGAAGATTAGGTGGCTTCACATAACAACGTAGGTAGGTTATCCTGGATTTTTCTTAAATTATTTGGCATAATCACCCAGCGCAGCACCAGCCCATACTCAGTACATATTTTGCAGAATCGTTTCTGAAGCACCCATGCCCCTATTTGATCAAGGATATCATTATCGCAGAGCTAAACTGTTGGAACACTGAGATGTAAAGGTCAGGAAGCCAGCTAAGGGACAGGAGGTGTATCCCCACGTGAACTTCTAATTTCCGATTATATAAAACATAAACCGATGGAGTCATACAGGACCTTGAAGTCTCCTTGTCCCACAGCCAGGCAAAGTATGGTTAACCTCCATTAGTTACTAAGCCCGCATTCTACAGAGCGATACACACTAACGAAGAGCTACGGAAACCATACCGGCAAGGCAGACGCAGGTGAAATTGCTCCCGTCTTGCTTCTCCTTTGCGTCAACACAGCTGGCGTTGTTGTGGCAGGGCTTCCTCCGGCAGGCGTCAAACTCTTCGCAGAAAGTGCCCACGTACTCATCGTCACAGGTACAGGAGAAGGCGGCCTAAAGCACAAACGTACGGTGTGTGTCACTTGAGTTCTCTCAAACGTACACATTGGCTCTGAAACTCGAAGTTCAAAAGCACCACTTCTTTCCAGGGTACCACCAACGCTGAGTATTTTCAACTACATCGCTTATATCATGATCTGATTAAGAGCTTAGCTTTAAAAGAAATGGTATCTATTTCTTTGTAGTTTAATTTCAAACATTTATTTTTAGGATTCTTTACTCATATGTATTTCAACTATTTTCAGTCTTCCTACAGTAGAAGGATGACTTTATTTTAAGCAAAAAAAAAAAAAAAATGAAGTTTTGTTGCGCTGACATGAAAATAGCAATTTCACTAGAGCAGATTTATTGTGCCATAGCCATTAAATTAGATGTCACTCCAACTAACTAAAACCCTGAAGCATAGACAGCGCATGTGACAAAAACATCCTCAAATGTCCTACTTGGGCCACCCTTCCAGAGCATCGAATTTACCGAATCAGCCTGTAAATGAGCCTCTATTGACAGCCACGCAGGGAAAAATAACAGCGCTGTAATCCAAGTCACCGGGGTTTTGGGGGGTGGGGTGGCGGGGTGTTTCTTTTGGTTTATAATAGTAACATTCTCCCAGTAAAAGACTGTAACTCAGACCCAAAGGACTGAATTTGACTGGAAGTTTCACTCCTGAGACTGTTGTAAAACCCAAATGAAACAGAGCCTTCCTTCTCTCTCCTCACCAGCCTCGGGTGGGCAACACACGCAGCTAACAGAACCGCAACTCTGGCTCCGGAGCCTGAGGCTTCGCACTGAGGCCCCGAAGCTCTGTGCGAAGCAATGCAGAGGTTAGGGCGGATTTATGAAGTCGGGAGGAAAGGAAGCACGGGGGAAAGGCATCAGCAAACCTTACTGCTCAAAAACAAAACAAAAAACAAAACAGACAAAGAGCACCTTTCCCAGCTCTCCCCAAGCCCCCCACACATCAGGCAGGTCTTCAAACCTCTCCAGTTCCAAAGCCCCGCCCACAGGCTCCCCTGGGCCCACCCTTCGCCTTCGCCTTCGCCTTTGCTGTCCAGGTCCCCAGCTCCTGACCCCTAACCTTTTCTCTAGTGTCGTTCATCCAGGATCCCCACCCAGTACCTCCGGCGCCCACCCAAGCACAATACAGAGCCTGTCCTTCCTCCAGAAAGGGAAAGCAGCCTTGTCCATTCTTCTCTTGAATTTTTTTTTCCTCTCAACCAAGTTCTAGAGTTCTTACCCATTTCTTGATAAATCTATTGTTGCATATTTAGATTTCTTTGTGGTTCTTATTAATAAGATATTTTCTTCATCTCTTTCTCGTAATACCCATCATACTAGATAATGATTATTAATGATATGAAAAACAGTAGTTAGGTTACCGGTTGTCACGCTGTGCTCTCATTACAGGTCAGAGAGTTTCTAGTTGATTTTCTTGTGTTTTTTAGATAAAATAACAGCCCCCACCAAAGTGCACACCAATTGCAAATAATGATAACATCACTTCCCCTTCTCCAGTTCCCGTGGTTACATGGGTGGCTCTTCCAGGATAATTCTGATACTGAGACGATTATTAAATTTTCTCAAATGGCATTTTAGCTTATATAAAAAATACAACTCTTAGATAGTTTTATAATTTAAAAACTGTCTTCTTTTTTTTTTTAACATATGTTTGAGTCCAATGTTTCAATTCCTGAGTATGACTCAAACTTGCATTCCTGAAAGGAACAGCTCCCATGGCCATTCTGCAAAATTGTTTTACAGCTTCCCTCTAGATGTAGTCATACTTCTAAACCCTCCCACCTCAAGTGCCCCATCCCCAAAGACTCCTTTTCTAAGAAAAACTGTCCCTTGCACAGTGAGATCACATTTTACACTGTAAGAGGATGGTTCTTGCCAAAAAGACTAAACCAGGAGTGGATGGACTCCTGACCTCAGCAACCAATCACGAGGCCAGACCGTCCAACGTGACATTTAGCTCTTCCAAAACTGCCGGGTTTTAGGTAGGTGTGTTTCTTCCGTTAACTCAGTGTGTTTTTGTTCAGGGCATATGGCAAATCCTTGTAATCTGCATAGTCAAGTCGTCTTTAGCTTAAGAACATATTCTTCAGTTATATTTTAGAAACCCAAACAACTGGAATAGAATCAATGGTTTTTTCTTAAGTTAGAGCTCAACGTTCTGCCTTCTGTTCCTACCACCTCTCCCACCTCTTTGTGGCCGGTAGAAATTCCCTCTGCATTCTAGCAATAGTTGGCTTCCTATCTGATTTTTCATGATGTCCTGAGCTTTCCCTGTGTGTGTGTGTGTGTGTGTGTGCACGCGTGTGTGAGCACGCACAGACTTTGTGGTTGAAAGCTGGGAGAACGGCAGCCTTTTAAATAGGAAACTGCTTTTCTGGAACTGTCTTTCAAAGAAAATCTTGTCCTTGTGCAAATGTACAACAGAGTACACCTTTGCTCTTTGCAGGGGATGTGTCTGGAGTTCTTTGTGAACCTGGAGATTAGTGCACAACTTCGAAGTGTAAACATTGGCTCACCCAACACATACGATTCTGAAGCGGGCCTCAACCCCATAATAAATTACCGCGTGTCATTGGTTTTGGCAGCTGTGCTCTAAAATTTACTTGGTTTGTATCCAGACGTTCCATGTTGCAGATGAATTTCTTTGCTTATTTGGGAGATATATTTTGCATATACTTATCTGGTGAGTTCCATGGAAACTATGTTGCTTGTGAAAGTAAATTATTAAAAGCCGCAAATCAAATATCTTCAATTTCATTTTGATTGAATTTAAAGCTAACACAGATGCCATACATTTTATTTTACTTTGTTTTAAGCAAGCACCTTAAAAAAAACTTGAAGAAGCTGTTGGAACAATTGTTTTTGACCAAGTAAAACATTGAACTAATTCTTAAACTTTGAATTGAGTGAGAAAGAAAATTTAAAAAATTGTTTACATACCCATGGTTATAAAAGTTTAGTTAAATCTTTGTGTATTTTATAGCATGTCATTCATAAAGTTAGATTTCTTCCTAAGTCTATTTTCTAATTTCCAATAACTCTTTTAATAGTTCCAAGCTGTTGATTTGCAAGAGGCCAAGAATATTAAGAAGCTGTGTTTTAGAATATTTGTTGTGGGAAACAGTTTGACTACTGAAAGGTTTAAACTCTTATGCCAACCTTAAGAAATTTAACCCACTAACTAGGATGCTATCACTAATCTAGGTCCAATTAACTTAACCAGCATAAGAGACAAAACAAACTTCCTTAAAATTAGTAGCTTAGCTAAATTACAGAATGAGACTTCCTTGCAAAATTATTGTACATTTTGTATGTACAAGTCTATCTCAGGCAAAATGGAAAGTGACTCTCAGAGATTAAGTTTAAAACCCAAGGCAGAATCTCAATTTTCCTCCACAGCTTGAAGTCAAACATTCCATTTGTACATTACTGAAACATTTTTCACAGAGTGGTAAAAAGCTTACTTTGAAAAGTTCTAGGTTAAAAAACTGTAGACATCCCTACATTCTTTCATTCACCCATTCAACAACTGAGCACTCACTATGTGCTGGGCACCGTTCTGGAGCTGGAGACACAAAAGTGGACATGATGCTCCCAAGCAGACGGTATTCTGGTGCAGGTGACTGACCACAAAGGAAAGGAACCAGCAAGGAAGGTCGTCAATTAGGTGGTGAATGCTCTGGGAAAAATCAAGTAGGGCAGGGAGATGCGGTGGGGGGTGTGGAGGGCAGGCTGAGAAGGTGATAAAGGGGCAGAGATTTGGCAGGGGCACAGGAGCGAACTGTCGGGGAGTCCAAGGGAAGCCGGTCCAGATAAAGGGAATCGTCCGTGAAAAGATGCCAAGCTGGAGCCTAGCCCAGGCAAAAAAAGAAAAAGAAAAAGAAAAAGAAAGAAAGAAAGAAAAGCCAGAAGACCAGCGTGGAAGAGGAAATGGCAGGGACAGCGGAGGGACTCTAGAGACGCGGTAATTGGGGCGGGGCTCAGTCGTGCAGCGCGTGGTGCTCCTCCGCAGAGGGCCCGTTTCTCCCTCCAGGAGGCATTTGGCAATGTCTGGAGACGTCTTTGCTCGTCACACCTGGGGGCTCACCACAGACACCTGGTGAGTGGCGACGAGGGATGCTGCTAACTGTCCTCCAAGGCACAGGCAGGCCCCAGAACCAGGGATTTTCTGGCACCGAGGTCGGAATGTTCAGGTTGAAACCCTGATGCAGAGCTTTATAACCACTGCAAGGGCTCTGGCTTAGTAGAAAACTTTGGAAACCACTGTTCATGTCCCCTCAAAGACCCCAAATTACATAGTCATGTCGTATGTAGTCATGTCGCTTTCCAGGGCATTAGCCGGTTTCATGACTAGAGTTGATTTGATTCTGATAACACCCTAACCCTGCCTGTAAGTAATCCCACAGGCCTCTCAAAGCACAGGTGGATGGCCTTTTGTTCAGGCCAGCTCGGGGTCTTCAGTGTGGACAGCGCGACGTTAGCCCGGCCATCTGAGCTGATCTTCCAGCCATCTTTATTCAGCATCAGAGCAGAGCTGGCTCTTACCAGATCATTTAACTGAAAATGGATGTCTGCTTTATTCTTTAATTCCACTCACTCAACACACAGCTTTTGCACCCTACCACATGCCAACCACTATTGTGTTAGAGATGTGCTGAAGGAAGGAGACGGTCCCTGCTTTCATGGAGCTTATATTGCAGCTTATTTTCTAGAGGGACAACAAAGAAATGCATGCTATCCTGTCACATAGTGGTAAGTGCTACAAAGAAATGTTTGTTGATGAGTGGCTAGAGAGTAACGGTGGGATGCAAGTTGACTTTTATCTCACGCCAAGTCTAGTTAGAAGGACTGATGTTTTTAAAGAATTGTACCTACTTAGAATTAAATCCTCCCTCCACCTTGGCAAGGTTTTGCTTTACACTTAAATTAAACCTAACCATCAGAAAACTGAATCCAGGACAGCGGTTTCTTGCTCCCTC